TCTCTCTCTCTCTCTCTCTCTCTCTCTCTCTCTCTCTCTCTCTTGTTTTATTTATTTATTTTTTTGGTGCTCTTCTGCCTCAAGTCCTGATCATAAGGCCCTTTCTTCACAATAAAATTCATCCCTAAAGGTTAATTACATGTCAGCTCTGAAGGTTAATTACTTATCAGCTCCTTTTGTAAGAATTCTTTCTTCTATATCTAACACAATATATTTCAGGCATTGGAGGTTTTTGGATTTTAGAATGTTTGTGTAGATTTTACCCATTCCTCATCCACCTGAAAATCTGAAATTTTCCAAATTCAAAATATTTTGAGTACCAACATGAGAGTCGAGATATTCTAGAGCTGGAAAGATGGTTCAGTGGGTTAAAGCACTTGCTGCACAAGCTTGAGGACCTAAGTTCAAATCCACAGCACTCACATAAAAGGATGGGCATAGCTGTGTATGTCTAACCCTCGAACTGGGGGATCAGAGACAGGTGGATCCCTGAGGCTCACTGACCAGTCAGTCTAGCCAAAATGGTAAACTTCATGTTTAGTGAGATACTGTTTCTCAAAAAAATAATATGTAAAACCAACCATCCCCATGTCAACCTTGGATTCTACATCCTCCAGATATGGATAAGCATACTTGCAGAGAGAAAGAGAGAGAGAAATGAAGAAATTCTGGTTTTCTAAGTATTTGAGGTTTAGAGATGTTCAACACGTACCAGCATTCTACAACTTTTAATCTATCATCTCAGGTTAGACCAATGTAACAAACGGGTGAAGCACCCCACGGCCTTGCCGGATAAATGTAGATTTATCATTTTTAGCATTCTCTTCTTGTTTAAATTGTGTGTGTGTGTGTGTGTGTGTGTATACACATATGTGTGGCTGCACTCATCTGTGCATACACATGTAGAGGCCAGAGTGTAACCTAGGGCACCTTCCTCTTTACTCATTTATTATTTATTTATTTATTTATTTATTTCTCTATGTAGACCAGGCTGGCCTCGAACTCACAAAGATCCACCTGCCTCTAACTCCGAAGTGCTGGGACTAAAGCCTGCGGCACCACACCTGGCTTACTCTCCTCTTTTTAAAAAGAATTTTATTTATTATTTTTATTTTATGTGTATGAACATAAAGTTTGTATGTACGTAAGTGCACCCATGTCATGCAATGCCTGTGGAGGTCAGAAGAGGGCATTGGATATCCTGGAACTCGAGTTATAGACTGTTTTTAGCTGCCATGTGGGTGATGGGACTCGAACCCAGGTCCTCTGGAAGAGCAGCATCTCTTCAGTGCCTCCACTTTATTTTTTGAGACAAGGCTTCTCACTGAAATCAAAGCTCACTCTTTTAGCTACCCTGACTGGTCAGTAAGCTCTGTGGATCTGTCTGTCTCCACCTCCCCAGCACTGGGGTGCAAGATGTGCACTCTGCCCAGCTTTAATGAGCTGGTGCTAAGGATTCAAACTCAGATCCTCATGTTTGTTCAACAAGCACTCACAGAACCATCTCCCCAGGCACTTTCAATGTAGGTTAAGAAATGACTAGGGATGTAGCCACCGAGCAGCTGCTCTCAGTGAGCAGGAGGCCATGGTTGATCCTCAGCATGATATATTAATTTCAAATCAATAAATTATGAAAAATAAAACTGTTGGACAAAACTGAAAGAAAATTTAAAAAAGAAATGAGCCTATGAGGCAGTAAAATTTTCAGTACAACCCTAACAACCTGAATTTGTCTCTTTGTTTTGTTTTTGTTTTTGTTTTTCTGAGACAGATGTAGCCCCAGCTGGCCTGGAGCTCACTATGTAGACCAGGCTGGCCTCGATCTCACAGAGATTCGCCTGCCTCTAGCTTCCAAATTCTGGGATTAAATGTGTGTGCCACCATGCCTGGTAGGACAATCTGAGTTTAAAATAGGCCTTACATATATGACAGAATGGATGAAATCCAGTGGGGGGACCTATAGCAGGGTGTGGATGGGGGAGGGGTATAAAGATGATTAAGATGTTTTGTATGACATGCACAAAAGTTCACTAAAAATACTACATCAAAAAAATAAAAATAAGGAAAAAAAATCGAGGATGCTGTGACTTGTGTCTTTAATCCAGGCCTAGCACTCCCATGGAGAGGACTGGAGGCATAGATAGTAGAAGTGTCTGAAAGCTCCCATTAGCAGGACATGGCTAAAATAACAAGGTTAAAGGAATATACTGACTCCTGAAAAATTGCCCTCACCTCCATCACACATACACACACACACACACACACACACACACACACACACACACACACTAAATAAAAATAAATATCAAAAAAAGAGAGAAAGATGAGCATGCCATTCAAGAGGAAAAGAAAAATGTTCATGCATTTAATGTTGCTCTTCTGTATCTTGACTGTTTTTAAGGCTGACTCCTGTAGTTTACTATGCTTTAGGAAAAGTGGAATCCCCTCTGTAACCTCTATAATGCCTTTCCTAGTAAATACTTACCTATATTGATACAAATGGTAAAACTAAAATGGAGAGCACAGGGAGGATAGAAGCAAACACCACAGTTGATGAAATGTCTGTTACTTCTGTAAACACATTGATCATTTAAGGAATTTTCATTAATGGTTTATGTACACATAGACGTTTGTGTTAAAAGTCACAGAGGGTATAGTCTAAGCCCACCAATACTGTACCTATTAAAGAAATGATTTAAAAAGTCCTACAAATGCCTATAAATTTTGGTAACGAAGGTCCAGAACCCTCAGAGCATTAGTTCACTTGGATCCACTAGCATAATAAAGGGGTTCTCCACCTCTCCAGGTGAGTGCCTGATTTCTTTCTGTAATACCACAAGCACTTTTTGCTTCTTCTTTTTTTTTTTTTTTCCTTTTCTTTTTTTCCTGAATGCAGACTCTTGGGCATTGCTGAACATCTGTTCCTGGGGTCTATGCTACACTTTGGTTAGGATCGGATAAAAGATGAAAGCATAAGAACTAGTGAGAAGGTCCAGCAGATGGAGCTGCTCCAGGTACAGGGATGCTATGATAGGGAGGAGCTGAATGTGGGAGGCATGGGCATGTAAGCACACATTCTTAGATGTCATACCTGAGCGAGGTTAGCCTGCAGCCAGAGTACAATGGGCCAATGCTGGTGTTCTTGAACACAAGAGCAAGCTGGGGAGGAAGAAAAGGGAGGTAAGAGAGTGATACAAGAGGGAGAAGTGGGCAGCCAGCATATAAGAGATCTTACCAAATGTTGCAGGACTGCCTCAATATTGTTGAACTTGAGGGATCCTGGGTGCTCCATATCTGATGTGTACTCCAGGTTCGTGATGGTGAAGTTGAGGGTAAATGGCACCGGGTTAGAGGTTGTGACTGCAACAGAGAAAGGCAGAGAAGAGAGCCAATTCTTCTTGAGCCCTCGTGAGATCTGCCCAGCTGCTCCTGTGGTCTGCACCAGACCTCATACAAAGGAGTTCTCTTTCTCTCCACCGGAGGTCTCCATTTGATTTGTTCTTAAGTCAGTGCAGACAGAAATCCTAAGTTATAGCTGACTGCCCTGTGTGGTGGTGGTGGTGGTGGTGGTGGTGGTGGTGGTGGTAGTAGTAGTAGTAGTAGTAGTGTGTGTATGTGTGCGTGTGTGCGTGTGTGTGTGTGTGTGTGTGTGTGTGTGTGTACATACTCCGGAGTGGAGCATATGCATGTGTGGATGTGTGTACATGAATGTGTGTGCTTGGAAGGCCGAAGGACAATCTTGGTTCTCATTCCTTGGGAGCCATCCACTTTCTCTTGGAGATAGGGTCTCTCATTGACCTGTAATTTGCCAACCAGGCTAGGCTGGCAGACCACAGAGCCCCTGGGATCCTGTTTCACCTCTGCAGCACTAACATTACAAGTGTACATCATTGTACCAAGGTTCTGAATCAAACTCATTCCTCATGCTTGAAAGGCAAGTACTTCAGCTATCTCCCCAGTATGTTGGTGGCAATTACAGTTACTTCTTTGTTCAACAATCAGCTTGAGCACAAGCTATACACAAGGCATACTACTGCAAATAGTTCTACTTAGAATAATAGAATTAATGTCAACTATTTAATTATGACAAACCCCAACAACAAAATCCCTGAAAGAATGAAGCAGATACTAGCGAAATATATTCCAAAGGGTTGAAAGGACAAATGGGCAAAACAGTAGAATGTCAGTGGGTACTCAGCCCGTGGAGGACACAGTCCCCAGTAGTGGTGCTACTGGAAGGTGAGAAAGAAAAAGAGAGAAACATTTTGGTTGCCCTGCTAACCACTGCTCCACCAAAGTCTCCTATTGTCTGAAACTAGTAGGATGTTAGTTATCAAAGGAAGGGAATCCAGGACATTTAATTTTCAGAGATCAGTGCTCTAGTACACAGAACAGAGCCTGGAAGCATGGAAAAGAATCTAAGGATATAAAACTCATGTGCCATGTGGAGCACAGAATATGACAGACAAATCCCACAGGAAATAATGTTCCTGAAGTGGGAAGCAGACAGCAGATACACAAGCAAGTACAGCATTAAAGTGGAACGTGAAGGTGTCCCTGAGGAAAGGACGATTCAATCATGCCCAGGTTTTTTACTTCATGATGGTACAAAAGAGGGACACAGTCTGTAGAAACTGTGCTATCACCTTTTTTAAATGTTGGGCTAGAGGGATAGCTCAGCTGTTGAAGGCTCAGACTAAATGGCTAGTGATATTTCGTTCATTCATTTTGAGACAGAGTGTTTCTGCACTGTACAGGCTATAACAACACTTCCCTGCCTCAGCCTCCTGAGTAGTAGAGGCTATAGGCGTGCACCACTGTACCCAGCTAATAAGATCTACTCTCATTAAATTTTGTGACATATTTGGTATTTGTATTCACTGATTCAACTCTTGGGTTCATATAAGTGTTCTGAACATGTTCAAGATAAACTAGGCTAAACTATAATGTTTGATAGACATATTAAATGTATTTCTTAATAATATTTTCAAATTATGATGGGTTTATTAGGATATAACTCCATTATAAGTCAGGAAGCATCTGTACTGTGAAGTTAAAAAAACAAAAACAAAACAGTTTGATTTGTATGGATGAATCGATAAGGCCCCTTTGAGAAGCTGGTATTTTCTTGAAACTGGAAAAGTGAGGAGCCAGCTGCACAAGCAGCAGAGGAAATGTGTTCAAGCAAAATCCATGAAGCTGAAAATAACTTGCGATGTTTAATCAGTGCCTAGTGCAATGTGCAGAGGAGAGTGTGTGTGGTGAAATGGCATGAAGAATGAGGTCGTTTTGGAGGATGGTAGGTGGAGGTGCCTTAGTTGTAGAGTATTACCTAGCATGTGTGAGGCTGGATTCCATGCTTAGTACATGAACAGATGGGAGGTAGGAAAGAAGGAAGGGAGGAAGGAAAAGAAAAAGGGGAGAGAGATTAAAGGAAGTACGGGAAGGAGGGTGAGAAGAGGGAAGGAGAGACGGGGAAAGGAAGAGTAGAAGGTGGAAGGGAGGGAGGGAGGGAG